AGTTTCATCATGGCCTATTGAGCCTATAGTATATATGTAGCTGGTAAGTGATGGTCGCAGCTCGTCAGCGTAAATGTTACAAGTTATTGCTCGTCAGCATCGCAAGAACATTCCTGTTTCTTCGCGTGCGATATAGGCACCAGATTGAATTTACTAGACATAGTTAATATTTATGAAAAAAAAAGAGAAATATAATATAATATTAAGCCCGTTATTATATAATATGACCACGCAAAACGCCTCCCTTCGTGATCCGATATATAGACCTAGGTCTGCTCTGGTCAGCTACCTAATATATTGTAAAGTAATTTGACGCGATCGTGTCCGTTATGCGTCGTAGTACATACAGAGTGATTCACCAAACATGTTCACCACCCTCTTCTCCCCCCCCCCCTAATGATGAATGATGCAGCACGCGTTTATTCAAATTATGATTTTTGGAATCTTCGTGTACACGTCCTTATATATTGGCTATATTTATAAACACTTAGATTTTTTGTACCTTATATGCAGCAGGAGAGTTCTCGTGAAGACAGACATCTGTTTTCGTCAAACGATAAACTTCCTTTTTTACAGTAACTTATATAAGTAGATAATGTTTTTGAGAATATTGTCTCGTCTTAATCAAAATTCGAAGGAGTATATAGTTTCTTAGTTACAATTTTTACAAATTATTAAATCCTTATGTAGGTGGGTACTTGTATATTACTATATTATTAGGTACTTACTTGAATTTTCGTATCATTGAACCTCCAATATATTTAAGCCCATTAATCATCATTATCATGGACAATTTTCCTTAGTACATATTATAATGTTTTGCAACTATCAGAATCTACTCGCGTTTGAATTTGAACTTAGTTCTCAACACGACAATACCTAACTAAAAAAAAAAAAAAAAAATTAAAAATGTTATATTAAATAACTTTATTTCCAAATCATATCCTATTCTATGTTTTATTTATATGTATCTATGTACTACGTAAATTGTTGTAAATAATTCTATATTTTATAAATTATTGTTAGATTTGCCAAAAAAAAACTGTATCAACAATAAGTTAGATGACTTCGCGTCGGGAAAACGTTTCAATAATAAATAAAATATATATTTCGTGAGCTAAATTTTGTGAAAAAAAATTTGCCGAGTTTGTAGCTTCAACGATTTATAATAATAATAATAATAATATAAAATATACAACGCGGGTAGGTCCAGAAGAGCGCGTGCGGCCGCGAACACGAGGCCATATAATACATATATAGGTATAGGTCTCATATTAATATCGTATGTATAATAATATAATATAATTTAGTGTCTTGTCCATTGTGACGTTAAAACCAAAACCGTGTTATTATTTAATTTGACTAATTATTCGACGAAACGTTTCCCGCAGTTTCCCACCGCGCCAGTTGTGTACACGTAGGTACCTGTTGCAGCACATATACCTGACCGTATAATATATGTAACTCGTACCTACCTACCTACCTCTATACCATATGAGCGAGCATATTATATACATATCATTATATATTTATATTATATTATTCTGATATACGGTCGACGTGCGATAATTAGACACGCGTCGTCTTCCGCGTCCATTCTGTCCCGTCCGCGAGTCGGACGGATCGTGTAATAATATTTTATACTATTATCGTATAATATAATATGTAATATGAAGTATACGCCTATAATAAAATATAAGCTTCATGGGCGTGTTACATCCAAAGTCGCCCGGTCGGTTTATTCGTACGTTTTTTTTTTTTCGGCACTGCGGCGAAAACGAAAAATTATTACTTTACGGTTATTTTTCCGTACCTATACATATATATATATAGATGGATATGTATAGGTTGAGCAGATAAAAGTATAGAACGGGTATAGGTACCAACAGTACAGCCCGATATACTTATCTACATGCTGTTATACGCATAAAATATTATATATTTATATAAGACGAACGTATATTATAACACGTATGGTTCGTTAAATGAATGATTTCAGGATTGAATTATACAACAAAAAATATTTAATAATAACACGCAAAAAAAACTGATTTAGAACCTTTTCATTCTGAGTATAGTGTTTGAAAATTTCATGAAATTTAAAAAAATTTAATATTTCATGTATGTATTTCAAATGTGTGAAATATTTCAGTATTTTAATAAATTTTGTTTTATTTTTAAATAAGTTTTATATTTACATATAACTGTCATAAATTACCTACATAATTGTATCGTACCTAAATGTTGGGACCCTCATACTGCAGATAATGCAAGGCAAATTGAGAGTGTGAACTATGCTAGTCATATACTTCAGATACCTTGTGCACTTCATAACTATATACACCGATTGTTATTCATCTAGGTATGACCTCCTTAGCCGAATGTCGCCGTGTTGCAGGTATTAAATTCCTTGAGGGTCTTTTAAACAATAATATAGATTCTCAAGTCCTTCTCTCTCAAATTTCAATTAAAGTCCATCCAGCTCAAAGGCCCTCTTCTATGTCCCGCACGCCGCCAACAACTATATGGCTAATGAGCCTTTAAGACACATATAATGTCGTCTGCCAATGCAGAGCCTTCCTTCGACGATTTGCTAAATTTTTAATATATATATTCAACAAAAGTTATTATTGTCATCAGATAATATTATAGTTTATATTAATGTAAGTTGTATAGATTTGATTTACTTTTTTCTTATTGTAAAAATTTCTGATATAAAAAATATATATTGTAATGTCAAAAAGGGCTAAGCTCGTATAACTAATAAAATAAATTTATACTAATAATTAAATAAATAATTTAATAAATGCCAAGTAAAACTGAAGGTTATTCTTTTCCAAATACTTTTTTTTACAAAAAAATGTCTAACTATGCAAAGTAAGCATAACAATTTTAAAATAAGCACTTTCCTGCAAAATCTATCAAATATGCAAAAATATGTACATTCAAATTTTAGATCTGATATCATGGTACAGAGAAATGAATTTATTTCGCACTCTGTTATTTTTAACAATAATTAACAAAAGTATGCAAATTGCAAATGGTAGGAGTCCCTAAGCCTAATAATAATTCTGTAACCTATCCCTATAACTCTGCGTCTATCCATTCCCCAACACTTTAAATAGGTACCTGATGAGTTCAAAATTGTATTTCCTTATATCAATAATATATAAATATAAGTAAATGTCATAATACAAATAATAAAATAACAACATAGGTATTAACAACTTCTTCGTATCGACTTAAAACCAAGTAAAAAAAAACATTACCAAAGACATTATAATTTATAATATACATTTCGTACGACGTGTACCTATACAACTATATTGTTTATACCGTTAAAATAATCTCTCTGAATTGTATTGTATAGACGACTTGCAACGAGAAACCCTAATAACCACGAGAAAGTTGGCTGAAATATGAAACTAATGTTCTTAAATATATTATAATATAATATCAGCTGTATTCACACCATAATACACGAGGGTCGCTTTAGACGATCGATATAATATTTAGCTGGTACCTATACCATTTGTCTGTGATAAATGATCGCTCTTGTTATTCGACATGATGAATATCCGTATTTAGGACGTTTGAAATATGGCTCCACTTAAAAAAAAATGTACACCACATAATATATAATATATTGTATAGTATTTGTGTTGAAGAAATAACATCCGAATATCGCTGTTGGAGTTTTTCGTTTAAGGACCGGACAATGGTAATAAAAAATATAATATACAACGATATTATATTAATGAACATATATACACATGCGTAAACAGAATATTTCCAAAAGTTGGACAGAATATTTTTAGTGTGGTTAAGAGGATGTGATACCCGCGTGTGTTGTCTCCGTCTTACAAGTGCGTAACATAGCAAAAATTCTAAGCAAAGCAGAACACTTATAGCTCCTTTAGTTTAAAAATTAGAGTGAATTGACCTCTTATAATATCTAAAGGTAAGATTATTATCTAGACGACCTCATAGGCTTTTTATTATATTTTAATTTTAAAGCGAGCTATGAGTATTTTAAAATTGTAAATTGTTTGTACATTTTAGGTACAGACTACGTGCAAGTTATTGAACAGAGCGCCCCATAGTGGTGAATGCACGCATTACTGGGGGGATTAGAATAAACATGAATACTATGCAATGTGTATCATAACGGCATGGCTAAATAGTTATTAAAACTTATTAATATTTACCCATGGTTCTGAGACCAGTATACCAAGTACTAAAAAATAAATTCTTATCAGATTGACAGATTGTATTTTTAAAATTGATATTACAGTCAACCAATTAAAAACCATAGAAGCCTAATTAGTAATTTCAAAATAGGTAATGTCAACTTTTAATTTTCCAAATAGCTTTTGATTTGAATTCGTTAAAAATTTTATTATAATGTCTAACATAAAGGACATAATAATTAAGTGCGGTTTTCAAAGTATTTATAGTAATATTGTATTTACAAATAGTAAAGGTATAAATTTAGCCGATAGTGGTCATGTAACTTTTGTAACTGAAGTGAGACCACCAAATAATTTTTCTGTGATCACAGCAAGTATTATAAGACAAACGTCCGTCACATTACACCCATGGCAAGTTAAACTAGAAGTAGGTCATTAATTTATACAGAATTTAATTTATTTCAATAATTATTACTAACACATGTGCCATATACCTTATTCATACAGTTAGATGATACCAGAACCATAAAGAGATGTTTTTGTAATTGTCCAGCTGGAGATTCTGAAAAGTGCAAGCATGTTGCTGCATTAATACATTATATTAACAATGAAGATAGCTTTTCAAAAACTGATTTTCCTCAGGTTTGGGGGAAACCATCAAAAGTGGGGGAAGAAAAATATAAAAAAGGTAGAACAATTGAACAGCTCTTTCCACCCATAAAAAAACTTAAAAATGAAATACTAAGTATTAGCCATTATGACTTGGTTAATACCTATGATATATTGTCAATTAATTGTGGTGTAAATAAGATGATACAAGAGGAACTAATGTCAGAAGATGATAGAGAATGTAAAATGTGTTTAAATGAAATAATAGATAGTATTGAAATGGAAGAAATATTTATGAAAAATGATAGGTTAATGAATTCAGTTCTCGAGAATCAATCAAGTTGTGATCACAGCTATGTTACTCAACTCATTAAATTTCCTTTGAATAAAAATGAGGATAAGTTTTATTTTAATATGATTGTAGTGAAAAAAGAAGAAGTTACATCTATTTTCAATAGCACATTGGAACAATCTAATAGTAACAAATGGACAGAACACAGAAAAGTAAGGATTTCTGCAACTAAATGCCACAAAATAAAAATTTGTAAAAATATGTCAGCTGAAAATCAACAAAAAATTGTTGAAATTATTTCTAATGATGTGAAATTAATTGGTAAAGCAGCGTTAAATACAGCATATGGTACACAAACTGAAATGATAGCTATTGAAACATACTGTGAAATGTTCAACAAAAAAACAATAAAAGCCGGACTTATAATTCATTCCAAATACCCTTGGTTATGTGCATCACCAGATTCATTGGTTTTATCTCAAAATGGCGAAATAAATAAAATCTTGGAAATTAAATGCCCTATAAGTTGCAAAAACAAACCTATAGTGGATGAAGACACAGGAAATCTAAACTTAAAATATTTGAAGTATGAAAATGGAAAAGTAGTATTAAGGTCATCTCATCAATATTATACACAATGCCAGATTTTAATGTTTGTTTCTGAGTTAAATGAATGTGATTTATTTATATATAACACTATAGATCCATTATTAATAACTATAAAAAAAGATGAAAATTTTTTAAAACAAGTTCTTTTTAAAATAGAATGTTTTTATTTTAAATATTATTTACCAAAATTGGCATGTATTAAAAAACTAAAAATATAAAAAAACATACAAAATAATGTAAATGTATAAAATATAAGATATACATACTTATAATTAGGTATTATGTAAATATTATTAAAAATAAATTATTAAAAACAGAATAATAATTTTTCTTTTATGTTTGATTAATTAAGGTTAAGGTAATGAATAAATGTTAAGGCTGTTGAATAAAATTTATTGTATACAATATAACATAAATTGTTTAAAAAAGGGGGGTGTAACATGAAATAGTGTGCAATTGTATTGTACTTGTAATTAGTCACAATCAAAATTTCATTTTTTATCATTTTTTATAATTGGAGGTTGTAAATTTGTCAGAACACAACACATATGAACAATATCATCTATATGAGGTAGAAGCTCTATTTGTATTTTATTTAACACTCCGTGAGTTTTTAACCTAGCAAAGAACCTTTCCACATGGATTCTGATGCTAGCAATGGAGTATGTTTCAAGAACCTCTTGTTCAGTGAATCTCCCATGATGTAATACAGGAGGCATGACTAATATTGAATTTTTATTTTCACAGTCTGTTTTTATGCCGGGGAAGCCTTTATCTGCTAATACTTGATCCCCTGGTTCCAATTTGGATAAAAATCCTGAGTCATTGGTAATAAATGAGTCACTAGCTCTTCCTCCATAACATTTAGAAATAAACGAAACTGCTCCACTGGGAGTGATTGCAGCTAAAAATTTTACAGTATAACAGCCTTTGTACCTAGAGTACATATACACTCTTTGTTCAATTGTGGGGGGCTGTTCAACTTTAATTTCAGTACAGTCTATAATACAGCGGGTATTAGGGTATAATTTTTTAAATCCTTCAGGTAAAGTTTCTTTAATTGTACTTTTACTGGGCCAAAAAATTAGATTTATTGTTTTTATGCTTAATATCTCTAAACACTGGAAAAAAATTCTACTTACAGAAGTACGGTGTATATTAAATAAAACACCAATTGCTGAAAATGTTAAGTTATGTTTTATTTTTATCAGAAATATTAAAAGTCTATCATTTTTACTTGTAGAACTATTGCATACTTGTGATAGCATTGAACATAATAGGTCGAACACTTTATAAGTAGTACCAGTCAAGTCTTTGAGTGAATTTTCATTTTTTATTGAATTAAATCCATGAAATCTATCACAAGATAAGCATGAATTTATACTGCTTGAATCTGGACCACAAGATTTATCAGAGGTAGATGTAAGAATATTATAAAAACCACGACAGACATTTGGGGAAGTTACTTGAGTTCTAACATTTTGATTTTCAAATGAACATTCAAAAGAAAACTGAACAGATTCTACAGGTTCAAATGCAACCTGAGTACTAGCATCACAAGTAGATACAGTTTTACAAGGATTATCAGTTAACATGTCATCTAAATTACAATCAGTTGTATTTTCCAAAGCAGAAGAAGTAGATTTAATTTTATGGCGCTTTAGGACACGTTGATATCTTGAACAAGACTGCTCTGAATCAACTATTTTTCGCTTGTATACTTCTGGAAAAATTGAAGGCACATAAGAAGGGCTACGAGAATCATTTGACCGCTCATTACCAACAAAGTGTGCACTACAAATCACACTGTGCACTTTCGGATTCCATGGACTTCCATTTACCCTGAAAAATAAAATAAACCTATTATTTTATAAGCAAACATTTTTCTAAAATAACCTTATAATACCTATAGTTAGGTACCTATTTTTCATAGCTAGATTTCATAATATTAATTATGGACATAGAAATTGGATATCTACACTTAGTTGATAGTAAATTACTATTATATTGTAACGGTCAATAATATTGATTGAATTTAAGTTATTTAACAAAAACAAATCATATTTTTAATAGGATTGTCGGTGTACATATTTGTTAAATAATATAATATGAATGTAACTGATATGAATCTAGGTAGGTACTAATATTCTAGAATAATATATAGATACAAATGACTTAACATTCAAATATGTGCTCTAACTATAGAATATTAATTTAACAAACACCAAAGGTACTTACTCTGTACGGTTAACTGCGCGTATCCATTTTTCTTTTAGGTTCTTTTCATATTTTCGATTAGGAAAAGTGTAAAACTTAATATTTTGGGTATTTTTATACATATTATTACAGTTGACCACACAGCATATTTTATTACTTTTACTCATTTCAAAAAAATATTAGGTCAATTATAGTCAGGATACAGATTGATTCAACACAACAAACAAGTGACAAATTTGAGAACTGAGAAGTCAATAATCAACTAATTACTGAATACTGAAAGAACAACATAAATATTATTATCTTTTTGTATAATATGCTATCATCCAAGTAAATAATAAATATAATTATTATTACCTACCATCTTATCATAACATAATAACCGTCACTGGTATGTGGTAATAAGTATGTTTAATGCTGTAGTAAGACACTCTTATATATTTTTATATGACGAATACAACTGTTCAATCATAATTTAAAGATCAAAAGAACTTTATGAGTTATGGCCATTATTTTACATGAGCGCCAAGTAATGGTGTGTAACAGTATCCCCCAAGTAACGCCGACATTTTCACCCCAGAGCGCTAGTAGTACACATGCACAGCGTCTACAGAGTACTCATAACTCGCTGGAAAATTAAAATATAATAAAAAGCTCATGAGGTTGTCTAGATAATAATCTTACCTTCAGATTTTATAAGAGGTCAATTTACTCTAATTTTTAAATTAACAGAGCTACTGCACGTGTTCTGCTTTGCGTACAATTTGCTGTTATGCACTTGTAAGACGGAGACAACACATGCGGGTATGACGTCCTCTTAACTCTTTTTTAGAATAAAAAGTGTATTAAAAATTATGCGTTTGATATTTTAGATTATTATGAGCAATGTACATATGTATTGTTTTTACAGTGATAATAATGTGTGTTTTTCAAATTTTTTTTCAACTCTTGCGTTAGGAGACATCCGATATTCAAGTTCGAGGGAGATTCCTGGAAGGAAAACGGATCTATAGTTTGCACTTTGGCTCAAATTAAAAGTAGAAATTGCTCAGTGTTTAAAATAATCGGAAAATAAAATGATCGATAGAATTGTTTTCTATATTACACGTACCCTTATACCTATATACATTATACATTATACAACGACTTATTATTATTTATTATTATAATTTATAAGGCTATTAAATTAATACCTGTTATGAATATTATGTTATCATTAGCAGATTAGCCGATGTCCTGTACGCAAACTCGATAGTATCTACTTAGTATACTTATAAAATATTGCTTATTTATTTGTCATTTAATATTTATTATACGACATAAAAATATAACATGTAATTAATTACTCGATACGAGGTCCTCGAGCACCTACATAGGAGGAATCCAGGAATTTTGTTTAATAAAAAATTTTATCAACGAAACCGAACTCTGCCAACTAATTTAAGAAACCATTAACATAAGACATAAGTAAACCAATGTATACCTATATATCAATATATAATTATTTGCAATTAATGTAAAAGTAACTTAATGTAAACAATGTGATCGCTAGCTATAGTAAGCTTGCGTATAGTTGATGCATTAAATAATTTGTAGCCAAGACGAAGGTTACCAAAGAATATTGTTTTAAAAGTTATATTACAATTTTAACAAAATAATATTCGTTATATTTTCTGAATGGAGCGAATAATGTAGGTATTGATTTTACAATGATCTATGTTTTTTTTATGTATGCCTATAATAGACACCTTTTCTAGTAGAAAATATGCCCTGATCATCCACATCGATGGAGATTTTTTGTAGCAAATTATTGGACCCTAGCTTGTACTTTTAGAAGGTCTAGTTTGTAAAATCTCAGCACCTTTTAAAAAAGTTTTCGAGTAAAACTAAAAAAAAAAAAAAACAAACATTTGTCAAAATGTCAATATTGTATTTAAATAATTGTTTGGTAGTCTTGGCGACCAAAAAGTTAGACAGTCTTGGCTCAGAATCGGGTTTTCATCGTAGACAATAATGGGTATCATTGAATTCACATTTAAGTATTTAACATAATATAATATATATTAATGTGCCTACTCAATGACGATATACACTCGACGACTACTGTAGTAACTGTAACAGACCAATTAAAATCTACTTTCTCCCCTTTTTTATTTCTTTGTTTTTCTCGATATTTATCATACCAGATATTTCAATAATTACTGAGAATTTTCAACTATGGTCAGCCAAAAGTACAAACTAGAAATCTAGATACAATATTCTACCAAAAACCTCCGTCGAAGTTTCAAGTTGATGATCAGAGCATATTTTTTCAGCTAGGAAAAGCATCTCTAGAAAACAAAATACACGTCACTGTATAAAATCAATACATTAATGGTCGCTTCGTTCCGATTCATTTTTATAAACATATTTTATTCTGATTTTTTACTGCAGGAAGCGCAGCAGCACACCACACACGCATGCTCACAACTATATGATTATAATATAATATTACACACTATACAGCCATATAATTACCTAATATACAAACAACCGTTTTCGGAGAATTTAAATTATTATAATATATAATGTATGGGTGATAAGAATATAAATTATGTTATTAGCGCTGCGCTGCGTGTTAAACCGCAGTATGCTTAATATATATATTATGATAATATTATTATAATCATAATAATAATATTAAATCTATGTTATAATAATATAATATTATGTGGGATCCACCCGGATCGCTACCGACTATCTCCGTCCATATCTGCCCGTATGTTATTGGGTATATTACTCGCGTATCTAAATATACCTAATAATAATATGCGCGGTGACGACATTATAATATTAGTATTATTATTATTATTATATTCGTTCGCCTACGCTTTATATTCGTACCTACATAATATTCTTATTATAATTGTACACCGCTCGTCCACCGCGAGATTTCTCATCGGTAAACGCGATGGCCGTTTAAAACGAAAATAAATAAACGTTTTCCCCGTCCACGAAGATA